GGTGTCTGCATTATTTTTAATGAAAGTAAAAACTAGGAATCATTAAGATTGGAAACAATCTCTAAGATCATCAGTCCAGCCATCAACCCAGCACCCCCATGCCCACTAAACCATGTCCCCAGGTGCCACGTCTGCCCGTTTTTTGAACACTTCCAGGGATGGTGACTCCACCACCTCTCTGGGCAGCCTGTTCCAATGCTTGACTACCCCTTCTGTGAAGAAATTTTTCCTAATATCCAATCTAAACCTCCCCTGGCGCAGCTTGAGCCCATCTCCTTTTGTCCTATTGCTAACTACATGGGAGAGGAGCCCAACACCCACCTCACTACACCCTCCTTTCAGGTAGTTGTAGAATGATAAGGTCTCCCCTCAGCCTCCTCTTCTCCAGGCTGAACAACCCCAGTTCCCTCAGCCGCTCCTCATAAGAGCTGTGCTCCAGAACCCTTCCCCAGCTTCGTTGCCCTTCTCTGGACACGCTCCAGCACCTCAATATCCTTCTTGTATTGAGGGGCCCAAAACTGGACACAGTATTCCAGGTGCGGCCTCACCAGTGCCGAGTACAGGGGGACAATCACCTCCCTGCTCCTGCTGGCCATGCTATTCCTGATACATTGGTGGATATGAATGCCAGGGGTGCCCCCCACCCAGTGCTCAGAGGTCCCTGGGTGCAGGATGATGGGACCAACACCGGGTGGGGCTGGGCATGTGCGAGCCACACTGGCAGTGGTGCAGGGATGCAGGCAGCGGTGGGTCCCTGCCTGGCGCAGGCAGCAGCGTTACCTTCCTCAGGAGCTCGGCGTGCGTGTTGATGAGCTCGCTGTGCTTCTCCTTCAGCTTCGCGTAGCGGATCTCGGTGGCGCTGGCTTTCTCTGGACAGGGTGAGAACGCATCAGCAACCGTGGCATGGGTGTCCTGAGGCCAACGGGTGCTGTAGGGCACCTACTTTCCGCTTCGGCACAGAGACGCTGGGACCTGTCGCTGTCCTGCTTCGCCCTCTGCAGCCTCTCCAGCTCATCCCGCAGCTGCTCGTTGTCCACCAGTGCCTTCTGCTTCTGCTTGCGCTGCTCCTCCACTTCGCCCTCCAGGCTGTTCACTTGCGCCTTGAGCTGCGTGATGTACCGCTGTGCCTGCGGAACACCAGCAGGCACTCGGGCACTGCCCTGCACCGATGCCAGCAATGACTCTGCCCTCCGCAATGTCCCTATCCAGGTGCCCGGCTGCCATTTGGGCAAAGCAGCCGTGAGATGCACAGGAAAGCTCTCCCCTCGGCCCCTGCAGTCACTCTGTCCCTGCTGCAAGCAGCAGGTCCGGGACAGCAAGGGAGAAGTCTCACGCGTCCCCACCCCATATCCATCAGGACTCAGGTCCTGGCACTGGGAGAAGCCCCAAAACGTAGTGCTGGGTGCAAGGACCCTGGTTCCTGCTGCATCCTGTCGAGGTTTCCACGCTACAGCTCCAAAAACCACCCCCCTCTCCCACACTGCTCTCAGGCCAGGCTTTACCTCCAGTTTAATCTTCTCCATCTCCGCATGGAGCATGTCCACCTCCTTCTTCAGGCTCTCGATCTGCGCATCCCTGCGGAGAGAGGCAGGTTGGTCCCATGCAGCAGCAGCCGCCCTCCCTCCACCACCGTGGACGTCCATACCTGTCGTCCCGAATGCCGTTGGGTGGCCCGAAGGTTTGCTCAAATATATCCGAGGTGATCTGGGGAAGACAGAGGGTGCTGAGCTGAGCCAGGCTGCAGGTGCCTGTCCCCCCCACCCCAGGGTCCTCATCCCATTCCTGTGCCCCCACCTGCGGCTCCGTGGTGGAAACCGTGCTGATCTCAATGAGGTTCTCCGGTTCCTCGTCCTCGGGGGCTTCCTCAGGGATGACGACCACTGGCTTTACATGCTCGGCCAGCGCGGATGCCCGCAAGAAGTTCGGGGGGCTCTGCAAGGACAAGAAGTTGTGGTGGCATCGCCTGCGGTTTCAGGAACCGCTGAGGGCAGACCACCGAGGGAAGGGAGGCAGCCATCCCTGTGCTGCGGAATGTGCTGGTGGGTCCCTCTGCAGCATCCCCAGACACTGAACCCATCTGGGGGGACACCCCCGTCCACCCTGAACCCACAAGCTCTCCAAAGCATCACACACGAGCACCACACCAAAATCTTGCTGTACCTCTGGCAGCCGAGGGATCTGGATGAGCCGCTTGAAATACAGCATGTCGGATGCTTTCTTAAAGAAGTTTTTGAGGCTGGAGGTGGGGAAAGAAAAACTGCTCTCAGGGGAGGCAGGGAGGGGGCTTGGCAGGA